GTGGTGTTCTGGTTAGAGTAGTTTAGTTAGTTTTAGTGTTGTGTTGTAGTGCATATTGGCATTATCTAGAACCAGAGGATTATTCGCACTTTTACATTTGGTAGTGACTGTGAGATGAACTAACCCGACAGCAATCAACCCGTAATTAAGATTTGTACAGTATGATTAAAATAACATAGACCTTTATCACCATAACTGCTGGAATCAAACACCTCTATCAATTCAAGCCAAATCATGTCAATATCTAAAGAAAAATAACCAGTACCGAACAAAAGAGACCTTGTTGCAGCAAGTTCAAGAGAATTATAAACCACGTCAAAGAACTTTTAAAAAAATATCCTGGTATACCTATTGTAATAAGAAAGAACATAGCGTGCCACAAGTTCAGATATAAGAAAATTAGATGACGAATGTACAATGCTCCTTCAAACATTTACTTCAGAGAAATCGAAGTGGTCCAAGAAATGATAAATGAAAATTTTGGAGATATCCTCGACATTGAGCAAATTCCTGAATCCCTGGTGCTTGCATTGGAAGTAATAGAAGACATGATAAATGATAAAAATTATAAGAAAGTGCCTATTCTGTACTTACCATCTTATATCCAAGTGACCCCAGCCACAAAAAAGAAAAGACCATTTCCAGTAAAACTTACCTGAGAAGTTTTTTCAACACCGTCCCGGTACAAGAGGGACCCGATTACTGAAATAATTGACCTATATATTGCTCTGGAAGTGGTACCTGAGGTTAGTAACTTTGACGCTGAAGTTGCCCTAAAAAATCTAATCGACAGATATTTGGAAACCTTGGAAACTTGTATATCTAAACTGAAAAAGCTTGAGGAACTCAAACTCGAAAGTCGTGAATATTGTTATCAAAACGGACCTATCAATGAAAAGGATGATAATGGAATTGAAGTTAAAAAAGATCAATGTAAGGTACCCATCTACTATCAAGGCCCGGCAGAAATGAATCGTGATAATGAACGAGGCAACCTTAGATGTTGCTATAAAAATGAAATAGTAGTTAAAAAGGATGAGCATAAGATGACCATTGACAATCATACTGATGAGCTGAATAATCTTAACAATTGTTTCTATGACAGGACTAGAGACAAAATGAACGATCGTAAAATATTCAGTTGGTCTCAAGAACCGCCATTATGGATCCTGCTGATGGAAATAATGATATTGGACTTTGCTATCAAAAAGGATTTGATACCGAAAAAGATAATCATAATGCATTCGTTTGTTACCAAAAGGCTGCAGATTTGGAAAATACCGATAGAACATGCCTGGTTGAACCTTGCTATCAAAAAGAAACTGGAGTTAGAAAGAACAAGGATAAGGAAATAAAAGCTGAAAAGAAATTTCAGACGACTTACCTAAAATTTGCAGAAAGTAATAATTCAGACAGAACGTATGGTCTCGAACTTTGCCAGCAAAATGGAGTAAGAATTAGAAAAGACAAAAATATGGCATTTGAATGGGATTCAAAATTAGCTAAAGAAGGCAATTCAAAGAGATAGAATAACCTTGAAATTGGCCAAGAAAATAGAATTGAAGCTAAAAAGGATAATCATAAGGTACCTGAACGGCATGTGAAAAATGTGGATAACAGTTTGAGTAGTCAAGTTAATCCCAAAAGATTCTACGATTGAAATAAAAAAGGTCTTGATAAAGCCTGCAAATCCTGGAACAAAAGGGTTAACGAGTTTAGAAGAATGATCAATGAAATAAAGAACCCATACCTAAACGTTCCCGGAGAACCTCCTCTACCTACCAACCCGAATATGGTTCTTGGATATTGTCGCCAAAATGGAATCGATGCCGAAAAAGATGAAGCAGACCCACTGACCAAAGGAATTGGAGTTGAATTGGATGAACCTAAGTCATTCGATGACCCCCAAGAATCTGCTAGCGCAGATCGACCTGACAAAGGAAATAACATTGGATCCTACTACCCAAATGGAATTGGTATCGAAAGTGATGATCACGATACATTCGTTTATTATCAAAAGACTGCAGATATGGGTGATGCTAATAGAACATATCTTGTTGGACCCTGCTATGAAATTAGTATTAGGAAGGATGAGAATAAAAAAATAAGAGTTGAAAAGAAACTCCCGACGACTTACCTAAAACATGCAGAAAATGATAATCCGGATAAGAAGTATGGTCTTGAACTCTATCAGCAAAATAGAATGGGAACTGAAAAAGACGATTGTAAGCTACTCACCTATTATCAAAAATCAGTTGAAGTGAATGTGGTTAGTAAGTCAGAATCAAGTGAATTGGATCAGAAGGACATAGAAAACATACCTGCAAGGTCTGAAGATATCGACGATGATGAAACCGAGGATGAAAGTGATCGTAAGACGTTGATTGGTAATAATGATTAGAATGACGAGAGATTAAATAATAATGTACCCGAAAAGTTCCTTGAAAAGAAGCCCTGCACCAACTTGCCAAAAGAATATTTAAGAGGATCGATGCTGAAAAGGACGAAGCATTGAAATGGTATACGAAAGATGCTGAAGATGGCATCACGAAAAGACAGTATGACCCCGGTGGTTGTTATAAAGATAAAACACTCTTGGGAAAATTAGCAAAATCTGAAGTAAGAAAATTGATGACTTCAAGCGGATGACCCATAAGTCCAAAAGGAAAAGTTCAAAAGAAGACTTTAAAATGTTAGTAGGAGATGACAGAGTAATTGACGAAAAGGATACACTTTTCTGATACTTACCGACACATGACCTTCGCAACCACATGTTTGATCCTGGTGGAAAAATTTAAGGAAACAATTAGTAATTGAATTCCTCTGATGAAAAAAATGGATCAGTTGGGTTATACAAAACGAAAAAATCAACTTTGCATGGCCTTATTATCATTGTTTTATTTCATTTTTGTTCTTTATTTTATTTTATTTTATTTTTTCCCTTGTTTCTCTTTTATTTCTCAATTTTCTTTATTTTGTTTGTGTTGGTTTTTCTCGTGGAACTCGAAATTAAGCTGGGGAGATTGTGAAAGTGTAAATTACCCTGAAATTACTGCGGTTTACGAATTCTGAAAATTCCAAGAATTCTGAAATAGTGTTTTGAACCGTTCAACCGAAAGTTCAACCGGGGCTGATCCGGGTAGACTTACGGGTATTCCCAGCCAATCGCTGATGTTTGTTTACATTGGGTGAAATAGGATGTGTCAATCCTATTTTACCCGATGTAAACAAACATCAGCGATTGGCTGGGAATACCCGTAAGTCTACCCGGATCAGCCCCGGTTGAACTTTCGGTTGAACGGTTCAAAACACTATTCTGAAAATCCCAAGAATTCACAGGATAATTAGTATTATTAGGATTCTAAGAATAGATATTATTATGTTAATCGTTGTAATTCCAGGAATTCCTAGAAAATAATAATACCAGTAATCGTAAGAATAGTTAGAATAGTTAGAATAGTTAGAATTACTGAAATCGTTAGAATTCTTGTGATTATATTACATATGTAAAGAAAGTATATATATCGTGAGACTCTTCCCTGAATAAAACTAACTCAGTAACTCAGTGAGTTTGAATCATGTCTTTTGAATAAACGATAACCTTGGAGTTCCAAAACCTTCGAAATTAGAGTAGAAGTGTTTGGCTCTACTAACCCCCCGATAAATAAAAACTGTATTAACGATTGGAATTCGTGACCAAATACCGTGACGTTGTATTAAGAGATTCGTGACGTAATCCAGAGCTCTAATCCGACACTATTACTAAGAACCCAATTCACCCTGGTTACTCTGACCAAGTCTTTCCACGCCTCAATCGTTGCCTTACCACTATTAGGGTTTTGGT